TCACTTTAGTGCCTCTCTGTTAAGACATTTGAAGAGATATGGATAGTGTGATATTATTTTTCCAAAAAGAAAATAATATATATGAAATTCATAAACCAAACAGTAAACAGTGGTTACCTTTAGAGAGTAACATGGAGGAAGCAGTGGTAAGACTTTCCCTTTGCCGGGCGCGGTGGCTCAAGCCTGTAATCCCAGCACTTTGGGAGGCCGAGACGGGCGGATCACGAGGTCAGGAGATCGAGACCATCCTGGCTGACATGGTGAAACCCCGTCTCTACTTTAAAAATACAAAAAAAAAAAAAACTAGCCAGGCGAGGTGGCGGGCGCCTATAGTCCCAGCTACTCGGGAGGCTGAGGCAGGAGAATGGCGTGAACCCGGGAGGCAGAGCTTGCAGTGAGCTGAGATCCGGCCACTGCACTCCAGCCTGGGCGGCAGAGCGAGACTCTGTCTCAACAACAACAAAAAAAAAAAAAAAAAAAAAAAAAGACTTTCCCTTTTCCCTTTACATACTTTCTACATTATCTTCATCCTTTATAATGAATTAATATTTAATAATTTAAGTATAAATTAATAAATGTTATTAAGAAATAATTAGTGCATATTGATTTAGCGTATATTTTTAATACTTAAAATAAATCTAGGCTTTAAAATTTTTAATTGTTATTTATAAAATAAAAGCTATTTTATATATATTAAAATAATATATATTGGCCGGGCACAGTGGCTCATGCCTGTAATCTCAGCACTTTGGGAGGCCAAGGTGGGAGGATCGCTTGAGCCCAGGAGTTCAAGACCAGCCCAGGCAACACAGCAAAAGCCCATCTCTACGAAAATACAAAAATTAGCCAGGCCTGTTGGCACACGCCTATAGTCCCAGCGACTCAAAAGGCTGAGATGGGAGAATTGCTTGAACCCAGGAGGCTGAGGTTGCAGTGAGCTGAGATTGTGCCACTGCACTCTAGCCTGTGCACCAGAGCAAGAGTCTGTCTCCTAAAATATCTATATATGTATATAGATATATCAATTATATAATATACATATATAGATATACCAAGCAATTATATATGTATATAGATATGTCTATATACATATACATTCCTCATTATGTTTGCTAGATACATATACATATATGTATGTAGATATCTATGCATATATATCTATATATGTATGCAGATATATCTGTATAATATAATTTATATATGTAATATATGTATATATATAATTGTTTGGTCTATTTTATGTATCTTGAGACCTATTGAAGGTTTTTGAACATGTGGGCAATTCTGGAGAGTAATTACTAAAAAAAGAGAAAATATGGGTGAGGTTTTGTTTACTGAGTTTTTGTTTTTGCTTTCCTCTTTACTTCCCTTTCATTGTTATTGACGTCTATAAGTATCCATTGGCATGTGACCCAGATCGAGCCTTATTTTCGTCTGTTTCCAAAGCATGTGATTAATTTCTAACATACTACATTACTAACTTGTTTATCATGTTTATTGTTTGCTTCCCCTCCTCTGCCCATTAACCTAAGCATCAGAAGAGCAAAAGGCTTTTGTTTATTTTGTCCAGTTTTATAGCCCAAGCACTTGGAAAAACTTCTGGTGTAAAGCAGGTGTTGAATAACTTTGTTGACTGAATAATAGTGCGGGGTATTTTTGTTTTGTTTTGTTTTTTGAGACGGAGTCTCACTCTGTCGCCTAGGCTGGACTGGAGTGGAGTGCAGTGATGCAATCTCGGCCCACTGCAACCTCCACCTCCTGGTTCCTTTTTTTGAGACGGAGTCTCGCTCTGTCACCCAGGCTGAAGTGCAGTGGCGTGATCTCAGCTCACTGTAAGCTCCGCCTCCCGGGTTTACGCCATTCTCCTGCCTCAGCCTCCCGAGTAGCTGGGACTACAGGCGCCCGTCACCAGGCCCAGCTAATTTTGTTGTATTTTTAGTAGAGATGGGGTTTCACCGTGTTAGCCAGGATGGTCTCCATCTCTTGACCTCATGATTCACCCGCCTGGGCCTCCCAAAGCCCTGGGATTAAAGGCGTGAGCCACCGCGCCTGGCCAGAGGAACTCAACTTCCAATGCAGGGGTCCCCGACCCCCAATCCAGGGACCATTACTGTGGTCTGTTAGGAACCAGGTTGCACAGTAGGAGTGGACGAGTAAGTGAAGCTTCATCTGTATTTACAGCTGCTCCCCATCGCCTGCATAACCACCTGAGCTCTGCCTCCTATAAGATCAGTAGCAGCATTAGATTCTCATACCAGCCCAAACCCTATTGTGAACTTCACATGTGAGGGATCTAGACAGCACACTCCTTATGAGAATCTAATGCCTGATGATCTGTCACTGTCTCCCATCACCCCCAGTGGGACCATCTAGTTGCAGGAAACAAGCTCAGGGCTCCCACTGATTCTACGTTATGCTGAGTTGTATAATTATTTCATTACATATTGTAATGAAAAAATAATAGAAATAAAGCACACGATAAATGTAATGCGCTTGAACCATGCTGAAACCATCCCCCTACACCCCATCCTTGGAAAAACTGTCTTCCACAAAACTGGTCCCTGGTGCCAAAAAGTTTGGGGACTGTTGTTCTAAAGGAATAAAAAAGTCTAAAGGACTTTTTGAAGCTGTAAGGTAAGGGCTGGGGTGATGTCCTGAGCACGGTGGGATAATGGCCTTTGGGTGGAAACTGAGTTCCTTCATTCATTCAGCTGATGTTTATGAGCGCCCTCCCTGGGCAGGCACGGTGCTGGTGCTTGAGGGTGTGGACACCAGAGCCAGTCCCTGCCTTCTCACAACTTTCCCTGGGGCTGCACTTGCTGGGGTATGGCCCTAGCTGGTCTGTTGGGTTCTGCAGGAGTCCAAGCTGGGCTTGGGATAACCCGACAGACCGCAGGCCAGGGGGAAGCTCACTGGTGGCCATCGCATCTCTCCCTCCAAGCAGGTTGAAGAAGGGGGCAAAGCAGACACCCTGAGCTCCAAACTGCAGGCTGGGGATGAGGTCGTGCACATCAATGAGGTGACTCTGAGCAGCTCCAGAAAGGAGGCAGTTTCCCTGGTGAAAGGATCCTACAAGACCCTCAGGCTGGGAGTGCGCAGGTAGGTGGCAGACCCCCACCCTGTCCCTCCTACCACCTCACCCCACCTCTTTCCCTGCCCTGCCCCACCTCTGGGAAAAGAGCTCGGGGTTGGTAGCTTGGCTTTAAACCTCCATGTGTGGATCCTGCCTTTTTTTTTTTCTTCTTTTTTCTTTCCTATCTTGTGGGATGTGGGGAGGAAGTGGGGTGAAGACATTTCAGACACTGCTCTCCTTTGAAACACTCATTTCCCAGTAAGTATTGGTTTGTCGGGGATAGACCTCACTGTACTTCCTAAATTTTGGAGCCTGATAAAAAGTGACACTGATCCCAGATGTGGTCAGAGCTCCAATAAGCTTTTTGTCTGGTGGGACTAGAGAAAGCAATTGGCTTGGAACTTTCAGTGGTATTTTGAGAACCACAGCTACACCAGAGGGTTCTTCAAAACAGGCAAATTCCCTCTTTTGATGTTTTGTTTTCTGGTCTCAGTAGTGGTTCCTCTGTTGGGAAAGTGTTGGGTTGTGTTTGATTTTAATGCCTTAGCGTCAGAAGCTTTGTATTCCCAGGAACCAACTCTTGGTGGAGGAAATTATTTATGGAAAGGGGAAGGGAATTGAATTATTTTTTTGATCTCTATTAGTAAGCACTGCCTGAGATACTTTACATATCTTAGCTCATTTAATCTGCACATGAACCCCATGAGATAGCTAATCACTACCCCCATTTTACAAGCAAGAGGTTAAATAGGTTACTGGAGGTAGCCAAGCTGATAAGTTGAAAAGCCAGAATAGAATCTAGATTGCCTGATTCTATTTCAAGCCACTTGAGCGTCATTATCTTGACCTGCTAAGTGTTAGGCCTAAATATTTTGCATATTTGAATATTTCTTCCTTAGATTTCAGCTGCCTCACATAGCAGCTAATGTTACAGTATTTGAGAATGTTCCAGTTGGCTGAGACTTTAGGAGTCATCAACGAAGCCCTACCATTTTCAGGTTGTGGAAAATAAGCTGATCTTTCATCATGCCACAGATGGTCTCTTAAAGATCCACGTTAATTCATTTCTCAAATGTTTCCTAAGTGAGCCCATGCTCAGGTGAACAGCACCTCCTCCCAGCCACAGAAAACACAGTCATGACTGCAGTCCCACTGTGTCTCCAGGCTCTAGTGACTCTCCTTAGTGTGCTGGGCTGTGTCCGGTCTGTCTTCAGGGCCATCAACAACAGTTGCTTCTCTGGTGGTCAGTGATACAGAGTGGCTCAAAGCATAGGCACGGGATTCAGACAGACCCAGGTTCAAATTCCAGGGCTGTCACCTGCTAGCTGTGTGAGCTTGGCCAAATTACTTAACCTTACTGAAAATTCAATATCCTTATCTTTAAATGAGGATTTATTTATTTATTTATTTATTTATGTTTGTTTGTTTGTTTGTTTTTTAAATGAGGATTTAAAGATATGTATTTATGCCAAAATATGGCAACAATCTAAGTATCCACAGAGGGACAAATGTATAAAGAAAATGTGGTGTGTATATGTTTATGTACACACACACACACACACACACACAATAGGAATATTATCCAGCCATACAAAAAGAAGGAAATCTTGCCATTTGCAACAATGTGGATGAACCTGGAGGACATTTTGTTAAGTGAAATAAGCCAGGCACAAAACCATAAAAACTGTTTCATCTCACTTATACATGGTATATAAAAAAGTCAAACTCAGAAGCAGAGAGTAGAATGGCGTTTGCCAGGGACTGGGGCATGGGGAGATTTGGTCAAGGGGTACAAACTTTTAGTTATAAGATGAATAAGTTCTGGGACTTAAGGTAAAACATGGTGACTATAGTTAGTAATACTGTATTGCTTACTTAAAATTTGCTATGAGAATAGATCTTAAGTGTCCTCACTACACACACACACCCCCACACAGGTAATTGTGTGTTGATTAATTTGATTTTTTATTGTGGTAATCATGATGCAGTGTATACAAATATCAAATCATCACATTGTACATTTTGAATATATTCAATTTTTGGCAATCATATTTGGGCAATCCAACATACTTTACAAAGTGATTGGAAAGATTAGATGAACTACTCTGAGGTAAAAAGAGATGTTGCTGCTATTATTTCTATTATTATTGGCCAACTCTAGGCATAGGCTCATTCCTTGTGGATCCAGATTTGAGTAAATTAAGCAGTCATCTCAAACATGGGGTGATGTGTCAAACAGATGGGTAGACAGGTTCAGAACCACGGGGCCATTCCTTGTTTCCAGAGAGTGCTGAAGGTTTTGAACTCACCTTGGCATTGGAACCCAGGAGCCTAGTTTGGGAACACTGGGCATTGATCTGTTGAGTACTAATGGCAGAATCCACACTCCTGATGTGTTTCAACATGACTGTGGTGATAGATTGGCCTCTGAAAAGGGCTGCTCTGTTTCCTGCTATGAAGAATAATCATGGTGGCTTCTGGTAGGCCTTCTAATAGATGGTGATATAAGATTTGAATTACTTCTTCTAGTAGAACCTTTGGAAACAGATAGTCATGGGGTTAAAATCTGGTTTAGTTACTTGCAAATTGTGTGACTTTGGGCTCTCTAAGCCTCAGTTTCCTCATTTGTGAAATGGAAATAATCATTCCTGCCTTGAAAGGGCATTAGTGAATTAAGTGTAAGTACATAGTAGATATGCAATATTTGATTATTATTATTCTGGATTAGGCTAGAGAGAGACACGTGGTAATATGGAGAAGTATTGTCATAATACCATATATGCTGACTCCCTGGTTATCTGGAGGCCCCCCTTTCATTCTCTTGGTGAGTTTACAACCATTTAAGGGCTACTACCCAGACTTACAGGTCTAGAACTGGTCATGACTGTCCCAGAGCTTGTGGAATTTAGGAGTATTAATTCACAGTATCCAAACTCACAAGAAACTGAAGGATATGAACCAGAATGCTACTACATTGACTCATTTTGAAAAGACAACTATAAGTGGAAAAGTATGCCATATGGACCAAAAACCAGTATACAGTACTTTATCCCTACAAGAAAACTAAATGAGAAGTCTAATTATGGTCAGGAGTTTGCATAGTGCTCTCCAGCTCCCCATGAAGAGAATGGTTCTGTAGGCACCAGTATGTGCTGGGATCCACTCTGATGGCCAGATGGTCCATCTTCCTATTAGGGGCTTGGCTGCCAGGCCACCGGAGATTTACATCCAGGAGCAAGGGCCCTTTCCCCTCTGGTCCCCAGGGAATCATGCTGCCAACTTTCTCCTCTCCGTTTTCATTATCATCAACACCAAATCCCCTTCCTGATTGACACATTCTTTCTTTAGGTATGCTAATGCAATCGATAAGGTTACTGAGCAGTTCTTGCACTTTCTGTTTCTGGTGTGGGAAACATTTTGTCCCTAAGATGCCTTTTGAATATGTCTTATCTCATCTATTATGTGTTGATTTTTATAGTTGAACTTTAAAAGGAAAAGGAGGATGCCTTTACATCTGACACATGCTTATAGATGGGGATTATCAACAAGCCTCAGGAGACACGGATGGACATTTCTCCCCTACGTTGCAGAGATCCGGGCGGAAGCCTCTTTCCTCTGGATTAATCTGGCTTTGTATTGCGTGGTGCCGTCACTTTCCTGAGAAGTCTTACCTTTATACCCTGGCACACGTCATCGTCCTGAGATTGTGTTTCCTTTGATTTATTCATGACAAAGTGACTAAGGACATTTCATTTATTAGCTTTCTTTTTTTCTGTGTGACCTCCATACTTTTAAAAAAGATTGGGGTGACTTGCTGGAAACATAATAGAAAGGAGGGTCTGTTTCATAGATAAATCATTTGTGTAGTCAGAATGTATATTTTGGCAGCCTTGTACCTGCCTCTTTTTCTCTTAAAGTTATTTTGGGTGGGCGAGGGCAGCACCTCATGTCAGGCTTTCACATCCATCATAAAAATGTCAAGAACACAGAGCAGAGTAGTAGTGTTTATATAAGTTTTGGGATTGTCTTACCCAGTGACCAAAAACAATCAAAAGTAGAAACACCTTCTTAAAAGGCTACAGTGACAAGAGAAATGCAAAGCCTCAAGTAAGTTGTGGGTCAAAGACTTTCAAAGATCTGCTGACCCATAAAGAAGGCAGAGTTTAGCCCTCTCTGGGAAGAGGGCGTGAAGGGGGCGGTGTGGATGCTGCAAGAACAGAGCATGTGTCTGCTGCTTGATACATGAAGAGTGAAGGTTAACAGCTAGTAGTGGATAAATGGAGAAGAAATGATAAAATAATAAGTGGGTCAGAGAAAAAACATTCCCAAAGGAAAACAAACAGCTCCCAGTTGCAGGAAAACCCTTGTGGAATGCAAGGACAGTGCAAAGGATGTTAATTAGGAAAGCAGACATTGACACAAATGAGAGTCATACTCCAAATCCTCCCTGAAATCAACAGAGACTTTATCTGGCAGATATGTGTAAAATAGTTGTCCAGGAATGGGGTAACCTTTAAATAGAAACTGACAAAGGAAAGGGTCTTCAGATTTATCATCCCTGAGAGTAATGGAAGGTGCGTTTAGTATAAGGAATGCTCACTGCTGTTTGTAGATAATCTAAAACTTGAATTAAAAAAAAAATAGGAGGCTATATTTGACCTCCAGAACAGATTGTTGGGGTTAATTGCTGTGTATTCATCTAAACACATATTTTTACCCTGAGTTTAGACGCAGACTCCTATCCTGAATTGGATTATCAGAATGGCCTTAGAATAAATGAATCCTTAATCCCAATTCTGATCTTTTCCCCAATTTCCTTGGCAAATCTAACCTTCCAGCCTTCTGCATTAAGGTGCTATTTTATTTATTTATTTATTTACTTATTTATCTTTCATTAATCAAAAGAAAGCTGGAGGTGCTATTTTTGCCAAATACTATCCTACTTCTAAATTTGTTATAAATGTATTTTTTGTGTTTTTACTTGTAGTTGGCAAAGAAAAACTTGAGTATATTTCATTTTAAATATTTCGTACTTTTTTATAAGGCTGTGCAAGCCAGGCAAAAGTCAGAGAGGGTATATGAGATAGTGGTGTCCAGCACTACCAGATTTGAGATGGCCTGGGTTTGAAGTCTCATGGCATAGATACCAACTTTGTGACCTTGGGCACGTAATTTAATCTGTCTGATTTTTGCCTCATAAAATTGTTGTGAGGATTAAATGAGAACTATGTGGGTATGGTATTTAGTACAGTTATTAAATTATGAATCTACTGAAAACAAATTGCACATTTGTTAAGTAAATTATCTCTTTGACTAGAGATATGTTCTAGAGATTAAGTTCCACCTTAATCTCTAGAACATAGCCTATGAAATGGGGCAGTCCTAGTTTAATGGGAAGACTTTGATGGGGAAATTATCTTTCTGGGCATCAGAGAGAGCAGAAGGTGGGGAAAATTGAGCCCCTTTTCAAAGTGGACTCTTACTCCCAAACCTTTCCATCACCTCTGCAAGTTTGTTGTAGTCTTTCCCCTTCCCATCAATTTATTCTATGAGTTGATGTGTTGGAAGGAAACATTTATCTTTTATTTGACTGAATACACGTGTGTAGTAGTAGTAGTGGTAGATCATATTTTACTGGGAAAAGAGAGCTTGAGGAGAAAGCCGCATTGAAAAAGTAAAAAACAATAAGCATCTGCCTAAAATATGTGTATGCCAGGCTATATGACTTGCCCATGTAGAGGTGGCTAGAGTGAGAATCTAGGTCTTATGACTTTCAGCCCATGGGTCTCTGCCTGGAGGTAGAAATGAGGAATAGGTAAGGGCTTGTCCAAGGCCACATGCTGGTGGCCAAAATGAGAGTCCAGGTCTTTGAGGATGTAAGTCTTGGGGACTTCTGGCCCCTCAAACAGTGAAATCATGAACTAGTGCTTTCTATTCCACTGCCTCCTCCTTTTAGAAATATCTGCGATGCTAAAAAAAAAAAAAAAAAAAAAAAAAAAAAAGGCAAGGCCAGGCCTGGTGGCTCACGCCTGTAATCCCAGCACTTTGGGAGGCCGAGGTGGGCGGGTCACCTGAAGTCAGGAGTTCAAGACCAGCCTGGCTAACATGGTGAAACCCTGTTTCTACTAAAAATACAAAAAATTAGCCAGGAGTGGTGGTGTGCCCCTGTAATTCCAGCTACTCAGGAAGCTGAGGCAGGAGAATCGCTTGAACCTGGGAGGTGGAGGTTGCAGTGACCTGAGATCACGCCATTGCACTCCAGTTTGGGCAACATGAGTGAAACTCTGTCTCAGACAAACAAACAAACAAAACCACAAAACAATAAAAAACAAAGAAGCTTATGTTTGATTCATCTAAGAAAACATTTCGAATGAAGAGGTGATTCCCCACTGACCTTGAACTTTCTTTGGGAAGGAAATGCACTGCACTGCTCTGGATACCCAGCTGACTTGAGTCTCTGCAGCAGCCTCTGGAAATAAAACTATGTGCTGCATTAGTGGCTGCTTCCTCCCTCCTAACAAAAATGGTGACGAAATTAAGTTCACCACGACCCTTGGGCCCACACTCCCCTGAATTCACCCTCCCACATTTCTGAGGGTTAACAGAATAGTTTCTTTTTATAAACTAGTGAGATGACATTATTACAATGGAATGGGACGGTTGGCTCACACACTTGCTACCTCCGTGTCAGATTTCTGTGACCTTATATTTCTAGATTGAATTGCAAGACTGTAACTCACCCAGGATTTGCAAGTCAATGATCCAATGAACTTTTTTAAGGCCTCTGAAAGGATACAAAATTAACTCCATTAGCCATTAGTAAAAAGGGTTGTGCAAATCAGTGCCTTTTCCAGCTCACGGTTACAGTTTATAAAAGAAAATAATTTTTTGGAATATTTTCACTACCACATCCTCATTTCCTTCACACTGTTTTGCCACCTCTCCACCCCCTCACCTGCCTGACTCTATTTCCTGAAAAAGCATCTACATTCTTAAAGCAGTTTGAGGTTAACCACCTGATGTCTCTTTCTGACTATTTTAAAGCGGTTTAAAGAATCAGTTTATTAAAAGCTTTAAAAGCAAATGGAACAGAACTCCCTATTTTTAAGGCAATAAAGTTGAAAGGAAGGGTTGAAACTTTTCTAGAACATAAAAAGCATATTTTTTCTTATAAATTGACAATCTGCAAGCCAGATTGTGTAGCACAAAGGTGCCAATTCTCAGATATGAGATTGCAAACAGCATGAGGAAGACACTATATCATCTGGATTCTAGTCTCAGTTCTGCTGTGGTCTGGCCATGGTACTACGGTATTACTCAATCCCTCTAAGACTAAATTTCTTCTAAAATGGAGGAGAACAGTTCCATACTGAGTTGCTATAAGGAAGAAATAAGATAGTATATATAAAAATGTTTCATTGTACTAAAATATTAATCTTTATTCCACGAGGAGCTTCTGTTGTACAGTCTCATGAAAATTACCTGACCACATTCTCTTATGATTGCTCTATTTAATGGCACTGATGTGACTCATT